AGTTGCCAACAGACTGAGATTTGAACCTAACTTCATTTGTAAAAATGCACTCAATAATCATTGCACCATAGGATTATTTGAGCTTGAGTGCACACATGTATACTTAAGAAATTTTTAAGAAATATAATATTATATTCGAAAGAGGAGCATGAGTTCACGTGCTCCATACTCCAACATATAGATACGTCCTTGGTCGAACAACAAATATTCACATTGGAGTTGTCTAGCCCAACTGAGTTAATGAACATTATGGACCTAAATAAATAGTTGTTCATCCAACCGGTTAAACTAAAAGTATTCGGTGAATGTATAATATGTGTGTGTGTGTATATATANAAAAGTAAACAATGAATTCGCCTGGCTATTTGTGTAAAGATTCGTTTTCTTACATTAACAACCCTCTATACTGGGCCTCCACAGAGCATTCCAACAAAAATATCTTGCGGAGCTTCGTATAGGTAAAAATAGCACGGCCAGGCCAGTTTTCGGATAAATAATCGAAAAATAACCAACATTTGTAAAGTCATTGAAAAATAGCCATTATTTTGCTGAAACACGGAAAGTTCCAACATAATATGCTGGATTATGGAGCTCCTGCATATAAACTTCTGTCATATTATGTTGGAACTCCAACACGAAAAATATGATGAATTATGGAGCTCCTCTATTTAAACTTCCTGCATATTATGTTGGAACTCCAACATATTATGCTAGAATTTTTCTGAATTTTTAAGGGTGTTTTTGTTCAAATTATATTTACTTGAAAAAGTGATTAAATTTTAATTACTTTTGAAACTGTAACTACTTTTCCTTTCATACATAGAAAAAGCAAATGTTAGACGTTAATCGTGCCGTTACTTACAACGTTATCCACGTTGTTGGAACAAGAAACACAAACATTAATAACGTTTAAGGCTGTCCAATGGGACGGGCCGTCCCGTCCCGTCCCGTCTCATTTATTAAACGGTACATGGGATGGGACGGGCTGCCCATTTAGTCATATTTATCCTGTCCCGTCTGTCCAGCGTGTTTTTTTTTTTTTTTTTTTTTTTTTTTTTTTTTTTTTTTGAAATAGAGTCGTTGGGCAACGACCTTATTTGAAAATTTAGCCGTTCCCAACGGCTATAAACGGCCATATCCCCCCCTCCTCCCCCCCTCCCAAAAAAAAAAAGAAATCATCCCAAACTCTTGATTTAACCCCTAAGTTATTAAATTACACTATGGCCCTATTTTTAACTATAAATACCCCCATCATTCTTCATTTTTTCCCGCAAAAATCAATCATTCTCTCTCAAATCTCTTGCATTCTATCTATATTATTCTCTCAATTGTCTCCCAATCAACTAAGTTTCAAGTATTTGGCCAAATTTTTAGAGCAACTTTCAAGCTTCAAATTAATTCGTCAAGTATTTGGAGAAATTTTTTGGGCAATTTCTTCAAATTTCAATATTTAATCATGGATGATATAACATGTTTTGATTCCTCTATTGATGATGAACTTGATTCTTATCTTAATCAAGGATCGGAAAGTATTAAAGAGAAGAAGGCAACGGACAACTTTTGGCATGGTAGAGGGAGCGTGGCAAGGCTTTTCCAACACTTTCAATAATGGCCCAAGATATCCTGGCTATTCAAGCATTATCAGTAGCATCGGAGAGTGCTTTTAGCGCGATAAAATTTCAAATCGGAGATCATAGACATTCATTAGCGAATGACAGGCTAGAGATTTCTGTATTATTCAGAGATTGGATTAATTTAGAAAGAAGAAATCTTGGTTTTGAAAAATTAACCACCAGGGAAGAAGAAGAATACAATGAGATACTTAGCACGGGGAGCGGTGACGACATGGAACTCATGGAACATCAATCAACATTGACAATTCCAGAACGATGTCCGAGAGAAATTATAGATAAGTTACAACGAAACTATATAGGAGCTTACAAATATTGATATGATGATTTGTAATTGGCTACTAAGAGGCCTAGTTCAAACAGAACCATTCCTAGAGGGTGGATGCGTAGATTATGTGTTATTCAAAAGAATTATATTTGTATGTGAAATTTGAAAGTTCTATTAATAAAATAAAAGGCTCTAAGCCTTGAATTATTTTTATGAATTGTCTTATACTCTTACTTAGTTACTTAATGGTTTGAAATTATATTAAATAAATTAAAATTCTATTATAATTACTAAAATATTTTATTACAAGTCTTTTGTTTTAATATTTTATAATTATTTACTTAGTTTCTTTATAATTTATTAAGTTTTAAATTTATTAAATAAGTCAAAAAACTAACCGTTGCAAACTTTAAAAATTTAGTCATTGTCAAAAAATTAGCCTTTGTCAAACTTAATGCTTAAATATTTATTTATTTATTTTAAAAAAAGGCCCATTCAAGACCCGTGAATTATCTCGTCCCGTCACATCCCATCCCGTTTGTTAGCGGGATGAGATGGGCCTCATTTTATTCCTTTTAGGCCCGTGCTGTCATTATCCCGGCTAAATGTCTTCCCGTTCAGTTGTACAACCATATATTAACGTTACAACTCACAAACCTGGACCAACTAGCTAGTTAATTTGTCGGACAAGACATCTGCATGTGCTCTTATTCCACTTGGTTAGACCTCCGCTGTAATAGGCAATAGGATTGAATTTTAGATTTGACGAATTCGGAATACAATTAGTGGGTTTAATCAGATACTCCCTCCGGTCCACTCAATTAGTTTTTTGACATTTATTTTGTGGTCTATAATATTTAATTTTTTTTAGATATTAAAAAAATTTTAATTTAATTTTTTAAGTTATTTTTGAAGTAAAGAGCATAGAAGTATTTGTTATATTTTCAAAAAATAAATTAAGACTAATATGGTCAATTGTATTATTAATTAATGTTAAAATATAAATTTTTTAATAAATATAAAAATTAAAAAAAATAATTAAAGCGAATCGGAGGAAGTACTACCAAGTATCATCGGGATGTGTGTCATTCTTATGAAAGTAAAAGTATTTATTTTTGGAGCGTCCATATTTTTGAAGTACATGCACAATATGTTAGAAGTACTTACCACCGGGATATGCAAATCGAATCGAAAAATCGCACCAAACTGAAAAGTTAAATCAAATCGATTAAAAATTCATATATAAAGACTTTTTTTAGAATTTTCTTTGAAAAAATGTCTACAAATATTTGCGATTCTCTTATGGGATGTAATATTTAATTAAATGTGAAGTGCTCCATATTATTAACTTTAAATAATGGGTTGTATGATCATTTTCTTATCAAGTGTTAGTGAAATGCGTCAATCTCTTTGTTTTTTCATATTTATATGTCAAAATCTATTAAATTCTTATATCTTTTTCGAGCTTGAAATTATATTTGATAATTTAAAATTAAATAGAACATATCATTATATATGTTCATATTTATTTTTATGTTAAATTATTAAATTCGGTTAACCTTGAAAGTGTACATCAACGTAAAATTATTGTTAGACGACTAAAAAATAACTATCATGTATTACTAAGAAAATTCTTCCATAAGAATATTTTAATAGATCATATATTTGTTATTTTTTTAATTTTTACTAAACATATATTTACTTATAAAAAATGTATTAAAGTAAGATTGAAATAATATTCACATAACAAAAAAAAACTCAAAAAATCTGACAAAACTAAACCAATCCAGACCAAAATAATTGGTTTGGTTTGATTTTGATAAAAATCGAACAAACCCGGTCCATGTACACCCTACTTTCAATCGTGTGTTAATATACATTAATTATTAAATTATAAAATTTGAGGATTCATTGAAAATCTAACTTAACTAATTTGACATTGCCTCTATTCCATGTTTATATTTTTGCACATCCCAATCATAAACGTATTTGTCTAAATTATTCTTCATGCCTTATTAAACATCACTTAGTTAATACTGTTGTTAAATAATCAGAAAAAGGAAAACGAAATTGAGAAGGCTTGAGGCGAGGCGTGAGAACTACTTTCCTTAAAAACATTATTGCCCTTATACAGATTTTGGGGGAAAAAACACAATCAATCTTTTTAAGAATACAACAAGCCACTATTTGATACTTGTAAATTTTTCTGAATCATTTTATAGGATTCTCAACGTTTATTTATAGGGCAAAAGTCAGGTTTTTTCCCGAAAAGTCACTTTATTTCATTAACAGATGTGTCTGTTTATTCAATTTTTTTAATATTCAAATAAGACTGATTTCGGCTATATAAATAAAAAATAAAACATTAATTAAATATCCAATTATTTAATAGTAATAGTGATATATATTTGCACATACGCTTAATTGTGTGTATTCTTAATCAAGTACATATAAGGACAAGAACTTAAAAGGCCCATAAGATTGTTTTAGGCCACCCATGTGGGACTTTCCCAAACAAACTAATTCTTACAAATACTAGTCAGACAATAAATATTAAAAAGTAATAAATGATGTAATTTCTCCGGTCCACTTTAATTAGAAAAAATAGGTCATCATTAATCATTTGATATAGTATTCAATTCGTATCTATATACATTTATCCTTCACTTCATTCTTTTTCTTTCTGAAGTTCCGACGTAAAAGATTCGTCTACCAACCCATTTAACTCCATTTGTTAGAATAGTTTCTATTGAGTCTGTGCACCTATTTTATTTTATTTTTCCTTAACCTTTGTTTCTTTGTTTGTTTTCGGTTTTCTTGTTGTTTTCATATATATTAAGTAATTTATCTTTTAGTATTAATTCATAATAAAATTGATCATATTAATAATTTTTACTCTAAGAACAACTTTGAAAAAAAAATTAATTACTTCTTAATATCTCAAAAAATCAAATATTGTGTAACATAAGAAATAGGCCAAAGCGGAGAGAATAGTGTTTTTTCCTTTTAAAGCTAATGTATTAAAACAGATCCAGCTAAATGGTCCGAACAGAAACAGTTGGTGTCCAGCAAACATAATTTACTCAACGGTTCATCACCAACTAACAATGATGCAGCACAAGACTTCAAAATCAAGAAAAGGAAAAACACATACTTAGACCTTAAGACAAGAACCAGAATCAAAATCCTCTGTATATTGTAATATATACGTAGTATACAACGCTTTCCCCACTTTCCCTCATGTCCCTGTCATCCCAATAAAAATCACTCAACCATTTTTCCAGTTAATCCTCTCTATCACACACGTGAAACTTCCAGCTACTTCCCCAACTTTCCTTTTGAAAAGACCCAAAGCAATTTTACATTTATAAGAAGAGTACGTTCAGTTGTATTGATTGGCTTTCCTTGCAAAAAAGTTTTAAGTATTAGTTGAGCTCACAGTAACCGATGTCAGTTGCTTGTGGAGCTGAGTGTGTGTTGGTTTTAGGTTGTCTCCGTTGGGCATGGAAACGATGCACATACACCGGCAATGACGACAGTGCTACGTGGCCAACAGCTACCTATGAGGAATTCGAACCAGTTCCACGTATCTGCCGTACAATTCTAGCAGTATACGAACCAAATCTCCGTAGCCCCAAGTACCCGCCGAAGGGCGGGTACAGACTAAACCCCGATTGGGTCATTAAACGGGTCACATATGAACAAACATCTGGCAATGCACCTCCGTATTTGATCTACTGTGATCACGAACACCAAGAGATTGTAGTCGCTATTCGTGGGTTGAATTTACTAAACGAAAGTGATTACAAAGTTTTGTTGGATAATAGGCTGGGAAAACAGATGTTTGATGGAGGATATGTACATCATGGGTTATTGAAATCTGCGGTTTGGGTTTTGAATAATGAGTCTGAGACTTTGAAGAAGCTTTGGATTGAGAATGGGAGGAGTTACAAGATGATATTTGCAGGTAAATATGGCAAATAGGCTGGTTGGATTAAATTCTTAGCGAACCTTAACTGATAAAATTGTTGTCATGTGAGCAGGAAGGTCACGGGTTCGAGCCGTGGAAACAGACTCTTGCAGAAATGCAGGGTAAGGGACGTACAATAGACTCATATGGTCCGGCCCTGAACTAGGGTGCTACAATAGACCCTTGTGGTCCGGCCCTTCCCGGACCCGCGCATAGCGAGAACTTGGTGCACTAGACTGCCTTTTTTAGCTTAAGTTCTTATAAGTTTGTATAATTTCCAACCTCCAAATGTAATTTGTATTTTTGGAGTTTCGATGAATTTTTACCTGTCTGGTTACGCTATTTGACCTGATACTTTGATGGGTCATTTCAAGTTCAAGCTGGAGTAAAGTCAACAACAAGTCACCCTACTTTGAACCAATAGTTTAATGGGTCATTTCGAGTTTATCCCAACGGTTGGGTGGATTACTAAAAATTGGTTAATTTTGCCACCTCTATTTTGCAGGACATTCTTTGGGTTCTGGTGTGGCGTCTTTGCTGACAGTGATTGTGGCGAATCATAAGGATAGATTAGGGGGAATTCCAAGGAGTCTTTTAAGGTGTTATGCAGTTGCACCAGCGCGGTGTATGTCACTCAACTTGGCTGTTAAGTATGCTGATATAATACACTCTGTGGTATTGCAGGTAAGCGTCGGAAACTAATCCAGAATTTTGAGTCAGTGGGTAGATAATACACTTTTCACCGGTTATTCTTTTGTGGCAAAGACTGAGGACGTGATACAAATATTGAATATTTTTTCAGAAAAAGTATCTTATATGTAATTTGAATTGATAGGAACTGCTTTCATATGCTGCATCTGCTCATGCTGAGAATGCTTAAATTTTGGGAATGTATTCTGGAAGATGTTATTAATGGGTTGTGAGGTGGTCGATTCAACTGGGAAAAGAGAGATGGACTAGGGACTAATTACTAACGGGTTCAGAGTAATGTAGTCAGTTGATTTAGCTGATAAATATTGGGATACTGTAGTTTGCAGATGCTACAAGGAAAGAACCAATTTTTGTGATCAGCAGTTAATCATTCCTTTGATTTACAGTAAAATTGAATCTTTACTATCTGTTCTCTTTTGGAATTTACCGCCAAGAGTGGAAAGTTGAAGTACATTGAAACTGTTCCAACTAGAATCTCTTTCCCTTTTCTGATCTAAATTTAAGTGCCTCCTGTTATAGATGGCATCTGGGTGTCGAGATCTACAGGCATTATATATTTATATATCTTATATTACCACTTGAAATACAATTGGCTTGAGTTTGTACTTATCATGTGGGGGGGAAGACGAATCCAAGGAATGGCGACTGAGCTGGTAGTTTAGTCGCTAACTGATAACTTATTTTTTCAGCAGTTACTAAGTTGAAATTTCTCCAAGGTAGGGGTAAGGTTTGCCTACACACTACCCTCCCCAGACCCCACAGTGTGGGATAATACTGGGTATGTTGTTGTTGTTGTTTACTAAGTTGAAATTTCTCCAAGGTAGGGGTAAGGTTTGCCTACACACTACCCTCCCCAGACCCCACAGTGTGGGATAATACTGGGTATGTTGTTGTTGTTGTTTACTAAGTTGAAATTTAAACCATTGGGCAGTGCAATTTGCTGTGACATTTCAGTAAAATAGTTGCCCACATTAACAGGAATTTCCACTGTTTTTCTCTGGTCATATTTGCAAATTTGAGAAGTTTCGGTATATGTGTTAATTTGCTCCTTAGCTTGCCATGTGAAATTCATGAACCGTCACATCCAGTGAATTAACAATGTAACCATGACTCTTTCCTAACAGGATGATTTCTTGCCAAGAACAGCCACCCCACTTGAAGATATATTTAAATCCATCTTCTGGTTAGTTTAGATCCACACTCTGTGTGCATAATAAAGCTTTCTCTCTATTCTCTGATTTCTTGCCGTTGCATGATTGCTATAATTATCTCTTATACCAGGCATTAATGCTTTCAACAGTTTACCGTGCTTGATATTTTTGGTATGCTTGAGAGATACCTTCATTCCTGAGGGCAGAAAACTCCGAGATCCAAGAAGACTTTATGCACCAGGCCGTATGTATCACATTGTAGAAAGAAGATTCTGCAGGTAAAGCACATTCAGATGAGTGTTACTAGTGTGCTATGTACTGTCAAAGTAATGCAAACTAGTGAATATGATATAACCTAGCCTCTGTCGGTGTGACTTTCACAGAACCGCCGACCATTGCTTGTGGTCATTGTGTGCTTTGTTTGACTTGTGTTGTAGATACGTTATATCTCCCCTCAGTTCTGTGCATGACGAGATCTCATTCCTTTCTAATATTCTGTTGTCTTGATTTCCTTGTTTATGTTTCACAGCCCGGCTTATAAGTCTATCGAATTGGTGTTGGGGTCTGATGCTTGCCACTATCAACTAGTATGAGTCATCCCAAACATTGTGCTCCTAAGTGGTGTTCGTTCAACTATCGATCTTGTCAATATTCTTTGTCCTCATCTTGTTAAATCCACTGATTAGGATATACTAACCCTGACAAATAGAGGCATTGTGTTCCGTTAGTTCCCTGAATTATTGAAGATATTATAGAACAGTTTCATATGAAATGCATCGGCATCTTTATCTCCCATTAAATAGACGAGTGCAGAATAAAGTTGAACTAATCTCACATACTGGTGAATTATTCTTACTTGTTGGACAAGAAGCACTTTAGCCTCATTGTTTTTGTTTCCCTAGTTTGGTTTAATCTTAATAAATCTGACCCTATGTATTTATTCTCTTCATGTAACTGTCACCGCACGCTTAGGCATTTACGATTATTGTGCAGACGCTGCTACAGCAAAATATTTTCAGATGAGACCACCGTTTTGGATTTCAACTTAACCATTTTAAGAAAAAAACGTTTTTTCCTTATGTTAGGACGATTTAAAGCTCTCCTCTTGGTTATGATATTAGCACTCAGTGCTTATGATATTTTTGCAACAGTGAAGCTTTAATACTCCTGATATGCAATTTCCTGCTTCACAGATGTGGGAGGTTCACTCCAGATGTTAGAACTGCCATCCCAGTTGACGGAAGATTTGAGCATATCGTGTTGTCACGCAATGCTACAGTTGATCATGGAATCATTTGGATAGAAAGAGAATCTGAAAAAGTATTAGCAGTAAGTAGCATCAACACACTTTTTCCTTTGAAAGGAAGGACTCCAGTTGGTCATCTATGATTTCATTTTGGTACAAAACATATGAGGAGTAATTTGCCTTGCTTTCGTCGCGCAAAAATTTCCAAAGACAAAAGCATAAACCTAGTCATTTTGTCATTGATAAGAGGAGTGGTTGTCTTCATAAAAGAGAACCAAATATATGTGCATTTGGACACAACCTGATCTTTTTATTTTATCCGTACAGTGAAATGATACTATCTGTATGGAAATAGATTGAGCGAAGGATTTCACCTTTGCAGGAAGGTATAGATTTTTGCAACAACAGTATTGCCTTTGTGACCTATAAAAAGCGGCCTACTTATCCCCGAATTCCAATAGAAGTTTAAATTGTGGGTAACATATGGTAATTTGCGTGCATGATGTTATGGCTTGGTCCTGTCCCATACTTTTAGATCTCATTGTTCCGTTGTTTAAGTCTAGAATTACTGTACTCCATCTGAATTACATGCTGCATATGATGGAACTAGAATGTCCACCAGCTCAGTTTCCACTGAAATCTTTCAATGTTAAGATCCTGAAATGCATAGTAGAAAAACCAGTGTATAGTCATCCGTGCTATATTTCCGCATGCTTGCAAGTCATTGTTGTCTTCTTTCAGTGGTTACGTTTATCAAACAATCAACTATGTCTCAATCCCCAATCAGTTGGGGTCAGCTATATGAATCCTCGTTAGCATAGGCAGATGTAATTTTAGTGGATTTTACACGTAAATTTATGCTCCGCATCAAAGTTCACATAAACCCGATACTCTCTATACTACACCCCCCCCCNACGGAGAGTATAACTGAGGAGTCATCTCAGAAACAGGAGGAAGATGCAATGACAAGCAAAGCGCAGTGCAGTGATGCAAGAACTAACTGGAATGAAGTAGTTGAGAAGCTTTTCAATAGAGACGAAAGTGGGAAATTACGATTAAAGAGAGATGCAACTGGTCCCGAGTAACAACTCTGTTCCAAGGTGCTTTTTCTCTCTTCTTTTTTATGATGGCTGTGTATGTTAGATGAAAGCATTATTACTCGTGTTCCAACAACTCATAATTCTTTATTATCCATATCGCATAGTACAATATCTTCTTTTTGTATATCAACGACCATAATGTATAATCTGAAGCCCCGTCAATAGTACAGTTGGAAATTCTTTTATGCAATTATTTTAGGCAGTTCCTCGTGGAATGTGATTTGTTCATGAATTCTTGTTTACAATCTGAGTGTTCATTTGGTATTCTGATACCACCCGCTCAATTTGTTATACCTTTACATTCTAATTTTTCCTGTCAATTGTTCAGTGTGCAGATTAGTTCATTAACTTGTCTACACTCTACATTAATATCATAGCAAAATGGCATCGACAGTTCAATACTGAGAGACATTTACAACTCATGCATTCTTTAACCAAGTCATATATGTTATGCTTTTTTATAGCCAGCTGGTATGTACAAAGACCAACCCAATAGCTAGTTGCCAAATATGACTGTTAGGATGCTGCTTCTTCCTTCTTTATTGTTTTTAATCTTTCACATAAGTAGAGAAGGCCCATCTGAACGTAGTAATAAAAGCCAATGACACTGCAGTTTGAATTGTAACCTTTTTGCCGAAGGGCACTTGGAATCAAGAAACGCATGGAGGGGAGTACGTGCTTCCTCTTTAAGTACAGTATTGAATCTGAATTAGTCGGACTAATGTGTATCTAGTGTATGTGATACCAGATACTTATACCAAAAGAGGAGGGGGGAAACACAACCAACAAGGAATTTGAACAAGTGAATGACAATAGTCAAACAATGGTGCTATTCTGTGGTCCTTGTATGTCAACAAAAATCACAACTTTGGCAAGATTCTACAGATGTACCAAGACAAGACCATAATGATGGACCATCATGTTTTCCCTGCATCTTTCTGCAGTTTCTGTTGAAAAAAGATACCTATTAAACTAGGAGTGGTTCTGGTGCTTGACATGTGCCAATTTCCTAACTTTACACCCTTATCTAAATTTATACATTTGATATTTCTGCTGAATGTCTACTTTTGCTACAATTTCAAACTATACTCGATAAGTAGGTCATTAACCAAGATATAGAATGTGCTAAGCTAATTCAAAGACACTCTTCTCTTAGTGCAGAGCAGAAATAGAACACCATAAAGAGTAGTAGTAGTAGTTAACTTTTGGCCTATGGGGCAGGTCAATTGACCAATATGCAAACCTTCGAAGTTAAAAATCAAAAGATTTACGCGTTGATCCGGTGCCTGCCCCAAAGGTCAAAAGTTCAAAATCAACTCATTTCAAGGTCATTTGTGTCATTGGCATAATACTGTGCGTTTTGAATCAAGCTCGATTTTTTCCTAAAATTCCTCAAAGTATCCCTACCTTATATATAGCTTTCTTCTCTTTTATCAACTTTCAATATGATACTTTATTTACATTTCACACATCCAATATATAAACTCTGCAAACACTACTTTAAAATTCTAGATTTGCTTCTCACTAACACTCATAGTATGGTCAAACATCTCTATAGTAGCTTCGTTTGTTCTGATATTTTTTGGCTGCTATAGTGAAGTGTTGTTATAGAAAATATATATTATAACATAACATAAAAATCGATTTCAAAAGAAACATGACTTTTATAGTGAACGAATGTTATACGAGGATGATGTTATAGACATGTATGTATTCATTGCATCCGATCACAGCTTCCACTAACAAATTCTGACCCTTCAACTCAAATCCAGACACATAAGAAGATTCCAACAATCTGCTGCTCCCACCACCAGGAGGCATCAAAGGACTTGTCGTATTAGATCAAGATTCCAACCCCAAGTGGAACCTTAGACAAAGACATGATTATAGTAACAATTTTATATATGGATGAGAGATAATGTCTCCATATAGAGACTATATAGTTCGTACACATGATGTCTTTTGTCCAACAAAACCTGTTAACTCATGACCTTTTAATCCACTACAATGTCTTCATTTCATTGATAAGAGTAGAGCGGATTGCTCTAGTGATGAACACCCTTCACTTCCAACCAAGAGGTTGTGAGTTTAAATCATCCCAAAAGCAAGGTGGGGAGTTCTTGGAAGGAGGGAACCGAAGGTCTATCGTAAACAACCTCTCTATCCTAGGGTAGGTAGTAAGGTCACGTACACACTACCTTTTCCAGACCCCGTGAAATTATATTATTGTTGTTGTAATGTCTTCATTTCATTATCTTCTTATCCAATACATTTTTTCCCCCAACGTGAGCTCCATCAGAAACTCACTTTAGCAGTCACAATCATGAACTAACTCCAAACCCAACCAATGCTAAACAAGTTTACTTTGTACATTTTCTTGTCACAACTCCCATCCATCTAATTCAACAACAATAATAAAAACAAACAGAATTCAAAAAGTTTGGAAAACATTTAGTTATAAGACTCAAAAAGTTCAGTTTTTAAGTTTTTAAAGTATGGTGGCATCCAATAATTCAACTACTATTAATTCATCAAATAACCTACTATTACAACACAAGCACGAGTCATGATAAATTTGCCCCACAAAAGTATATGAATCATGCTAATCTTGTAACTGAGATTCAAACCTACAATTTACATATTACTTCAACCACTCAATCACACCTTTGGGACAAGTTAGGACTCCAAACTAAGATAGTTCAATGGTAAAAGGACAGTTTCAAAAATATGCATTCTAATTTTAACATAAAGATAACAGAGTGAAAAGTGCAGCAATTACACATGGTAACAAGCATTACAGATCTCTCTACATTGAATCTTGAACAAAGAGCAACACACGTACACAATCCTACTAGAACTACACAAGTCATAATCCACTACAAGTAGAGGCATTAACCAAGAGGAGATCCTACTAATAAAAGGGCAGCTACACTAAGCTATCACTATACGCAGGATTCGAGAAAGAGCCGGACTGGTCGCAATCTTACCTTGCATTTCTGCAGGAGACTACTTGCACCACTTTGAATCCCTAACTACTAGTCACAAGACAACAACCCTTACTAAAGCAAATACTAATACCTAAATGAAAAGAAAAATAAGACAACTAAGTCATTAAGAGTCATCACCATCAACAGATCTAGTCCAATAATAAGCCTCCAAATTTTTCTCAGCTTTCCTCTACATCATCACCATATTGTGCAGACTGTGGCCTAACTTTCCTAGGCCTACCCCTAGGCCTCCCTGTGGAATTTGGGGTTGCTGGTGTTGGCTTTGGCTTTTTTGAAGTAGGTGGTGCATTGGGGTCTTTTCTTGGTCTACCTCTCGGCCTTGGTGGTGCAATTTCTGCAGATTCTGCACCAGGTGGCAAAGGAACTTTAGGTTTTGGTGGTCTGCCTCTACCCCTTTTCTGAGGAACATCTGTACCAGGTTTAATGTAATTGTTCTTGAGGAAAATGAGCTCTCCAGTTTGCTTCATGTTGTCCAAATGTAAAGTTAGAAACTCTGAATGATCTTTACCCAGATCTCCATATTTTGATTCAATGTAAGTTGATATTGATGACTTGTTTGAACCCCCTTCTTGATTTAGTGCTTCAATGGCTTCACATATCATCTGTTAAAACAAAACCCAAATCTTTATTTTTGAGATTCTTGTATTTTTTTCTTTCTTTTTCAAGAAACAAACATGCAGATCTGTTAAAAAGCATTCTTGATATCATATATGCTCATGTGGGAACCATTAAAACAGTAAAAATAGTCACTTTAAACTGCTGATTTGTTCTTCTTTTACAAAAAATTTCTAGGGAATTGAGCAACAATTGCGAAAACTCAAACTTTACAAGCACTAAGTCCTGAAGAATTAGAGAAATATTAAGTGAATAACCTAGTAACAAAGGTAAAAAGCTAGAATTTTTTTCTTGTTTATATTACAATGAGGGTTAAGCGGTTCTTGCATGTAACTTTAAAAATTAAATCTTTCATCAAGATTTAAGGAAAAATCACTGAAATATGTGTAAAAAAATCATTTTTTTTTTTGTATGTTTGAAAATATAGGACTTTAGGGGTATAATTCTGAGCTAAAAATGTTAAAAAATGAGATGCAAAAAAATGAAAAAAGCAAAAAGGGAAAGTTGAAAGCTTGGTTTACCTCAGGGTACGATGGAGGTTTGTTGAAGCTTTCAGTTGCCATGGCACAGAGAGAGAGAGAGAGAGAGAGAGAGAGAGAGAGAGAGAGAGAGAGAGAGAGAGAGAGAGAGAGAGAGAGAGAGAGAGAGAGAGATGTCCCTACAAGAAAGAAGAGTGTCAGCTTCAAAAGCACAGTGGAAAATTGCTACTCATAAACTAGGAATCAAAGAACTAAAGAGAGAATATCTGAACCAGAAAAAAACAAAGTGTACTCTATGGTAAATGAGTGGCTGAAGATTTGGGATAGGAACAAAATCCAACGGTTAAAAATCTTGCTTACATTGTGTTACAAGGATATATGACGTGGCTTTCTTTTTTGTCTTTTTGGGATTCAACAACGGGCTATAAGTTATAGCCCATTTATTTCATTGAACGCTAAGCCCATCTCATAATAGGACTAACATTATAATAGTGCAGCCCACTTAGAAAGGCCCATTCTTTTTTATTCAATAAAGTAGGAGAAAGTACACAAATAGCCATTTTAGAACTGCTATTTAGGAATTAGCCAATACTTATTTTGTTCTGAAAATTTGAACTAAATTTTTTAATTTCAGGACTTTGTATCCAGAAAAATTAAAATAAAAAACTGAAATTCAGAACCCATTGGCTAATTCCTAGATAGAAGTCCTCTAGAATGACTATCTGGTGTCATTTTTTACAATAAAATAAATATTTTTCGAGTTATCTATATTCTAATATTTAGTTATCATATTAAAATAAAGAAAATGACTTTCCAAACTTGTTAGGCGAAAGTCATTTTTCGAAGAACCACTTTGATATTTTACTTCATTACTAAGTATAAATTTTATTTACATTGTACATAAGTTAAATCATTGTGGATAAATCGTGGGCAAGAGATTAATTATACAAGCGTTCACGGTTTTTTTTAAAAAAAAAAAAAAAAAAAAAGAGGGATATAAAAGGAAAGAATTTTTTAAAGATATGTAAATAAAGTAATTGTTTGACATACTTAAAAATGGGTAGTATGAATAGTTTTTCTAACGTGTTAATTGCAATTGAATTGACAAGGAAAATAGTACAAGTAGAAGATAATATAAAAAAAATTTGATTTTTTTTCAAATGCTTATAGAATAATATTAACAGTTCGTATAACAGTTGCCTCAGTGAAAATAAATTTTTCAAAATTAAAATTGATAAAAATTTAGCGAAGATCAATAGTGTCTAAGAAAAGATTAAATATTGGTTATATTATGGAAAGAGATTGTTGAAAGAAATCGATTATAACAAAATTATTAACAACTGTGCATCTAAAAAACTAGACTTTAAATAAAAATATATATCATACCTTTTTTTAATAAAAATATTTAGGACTCACATTAAATTCTAGCTTTACACATGTGTTTGAGCCTCCCAGCATTTGAGCAATATCTTTTCACTACCCTCATCGATGAACCATTCTAGCAAATGTGAAGTTTGTGAATTCTAACTAACAAATTAAGAGGCTATCTAGCTCAGAATTTAGCCTTTTAATAATTATGGTAGTGGGAAAAAAAATAAAGCAAGACTTTATTGGCATTTAATTTGACAAAGAAAATTACTTATCTAAATCAGCCATGTTGGAGGAAGTTTAAGTGCGTCTAACTTTGTCAAAGCTATTGATCTATACCAGCCATGTTTGAGGAAATAGAGACAATTTCAGTTTTAGCCGCTTTGCAGAAACTTTTGACAAACTCTAACCCACAAATCTATTATGAAATTTGAAGCTAAAAACTAATTATAATAACTAGCCAAAAATTTAAAGGTAGGTACACCCTTTCCCTTTTACAGCTTTTATCTGTACCATCACAAGCCCTTCGTTACGTCTTGTGCACTGCCTTAGCATTAAGCTCGTCGATCGAGCCTCTACCGCCGCTGACGGTACCACTGTCCTCAGCACATCATATAGCACACTTGCAATTTGATAGATCTTAGCCATTTCTTCTCTAATAAAGCAACCAAGGTCAACCCATAATTAAATGAACAACGGTAGGCCATTACGAAAGAATTCCAAAAAGGTCATGAAATTTAACTAGCGTTTGACTATAGATTCCCAAATTTATTTTGAAAAATTTGATTTGGGTGAAATTTGGTTTGAAGATGAAAATGTGTTTGTATATCTGTTTTGGGTGAAGTTTGGTTTAGAAAAATATGAAATATGTCTTATACCCACAAGTTTTAAAAACTATCACAAATACCCAACGGTACCATTATCAATAACATTCATTATATTATCGCAAATCATAGTCCTGAACATAAATAAATTTGATACAAAATTATTATTTTTATAATGAATTACATGATACACTATCAGATGACCGAGAAAATGAAACAACATCATTACAAAATAATAAATGGTGGGCTCTTTTATAAAATACAAAAGTTTGGGGCAATTTTTAAAAAATATAGTAGTAATATTTTGGCCCAAAACCAACTATTGAGCTGATTTTGGAATTTGAGATTTCAAATTTGGGATTTGGCCAAATTATAAGCAAAATCTATGGCCAAACGGGTCTTTAGGTTGAAGTCTCACGGTTTCTTTGTTTGATGGCCATCTTTGATATTTTTCTCATAGAAGTTCTGGTAGAATTTCTGAATTTCTCTAGGATCATTTCTTGCAAGTTGAGGAACCTTTTCCCCATTTTCAAAATTCTATCCTCAAATTCCTTAATTAGACGGGGGAAACAATAATAGATTAATGTATTATGATCAAAATAGAGTTAGAATTAGTTACCCAATAGTTCTCCTTCAAAATCCCTCGAGAAATCGTCTCTCACCGAGCTCTAAATCGAATTTTGTGTTATGAAATTTCAAACCCTCGAAATTTCCTTTTTTGCCCAGCGATCATCGCACCTGCGGCCTTTTCTCGCACCTGCGGATACCGCGCTTGCGGTCCAAACGGCGCATCCGCGCATTTCATTTACCTCCTCTGGCTCCGCATCCTGCGATGAAAGGGACGCACCTGCGCGTGCGCGCCTGCAAAAATCCCTTCCGCTTCTGCGGACCTTGCGCACATGCGATGACCCTAACGCATCTGCGGGCATCGCAGATGCGAAATTCACCTCGCACCTGCGACCCCTGGCACTCCTCCACTTTCTACTTCTGCTCTTGCCCCTCCGCACGTGCGATCCCGCACATGCGGTCTCTCCACCGCAAGTGCGAAAATACTAGAAGCCTGAAGAGTTCAGCAGCAACACAAATCTAACTTTTTGATCCGTTAAGCACTCGAAACTTACCCGAGGCCCCCAAGACCTCAACCAAACGTACCAACCCTAAAACGCCATATGAGCTTAATCGAGCCTTCAAACAACATCGAACAATACCAAAATCATGAATTAAGCCGGATTCAAGCCTAAGAATTTTAGAATTTACCAACTTCTACAAACGACGCTGAACCACATCAAATCTTGTCCGAATGACCTCAAATTTTGCACACATGTCACAAATGACACTACAAACCTACAATCACTTTCGGAATTCCATTCCGAGCTTGATATCAAAATTTCCACTATCGGGCGAAATCGCAGAAAAACTAACTTTCGCCAATTCAAGCCTAAATCTACTACAGACCTCCAAAAAATATTCCGAATATGCTCCTAAGCTCAAAATCACTCAACGGAGCTAACAGAGTCGACGAAATTCCATTCCGGATCCGTCTTCATACAGTTCTGACTACGGTCCAATTTCTAAGGCTTAAACTTACAACTAGGGATTAAGTGTCCCAAAACTCCCCGAATTGCATAACCAATCACTTTGACAAATCTCAAAAGAAGAAACAAGTGTGGGGAAAGCAGATATTAGGGAATCGGGGCTCTAATTCTCAAAATGACCGGTCGGGTCGTTACATCCCCCTCTCTTAAAACAATCGTTCGTCCTCGAATGAGTATAAAAACATACCTGAAACTGTGAAAAGATGAGGGTACTAGTTGCGCATATCCTGCTCGGTCTCCCAAGTCGCCTCCTCGACTTCTGACCTGCCTGTCCAAAATGGCTACTGGCTCCTCAACATAAGATAGATTCTTGTCCAACTGGACTGAGCTGAAATCCAATACATGAGTCGGATAACCATGATATTTCCGGAGCATAGACATGTGGAATACCGGGTGAATTCCTGCTAGACTGGGAGGCAAGGCAAGCTCATAAGCAACCTTCCTAACTTACCGCAATATCTCAAAAGGTCCAATGAACCTCGGGCTCAGCTTGCCCTTCTTCCTGAATCTCGAGACGCCCTTCATAGGCAATACCTGAAGCAAGACCCGCTCGCCAACCATAAATGCCAAATCACGAACCTTCCGGTCCGCATAACTCCTCTGCCTGAACTGGGTTGTGCGAAGTCTCTCCTGAATCACCTTCACCTTATCCAGGGCATCCTAGACCAAATATGTACCCAAGACTCGGGCCTCGCCTGACTCAAACCATCCCACTGGGGACCGGCAATGCCTACCATACAAAGCCTCATACGGTGCCATCTGAATGTTAGACTGGTAACTGTTGTTGTAAGCAAAATCTACAAGTGGCAAGTATTGGTCCCATGACCCTCCGAACTCTATCACACAGGCAGGGAGCATATCCTCAAGAATCTAAATCGTGCGCTCGGACTGCCCATCCATCTGAGGGTGAAAGGTTGTGCTCAGCTCCACCCTAGTACCCAACTTCTGATGTACGGCTCTCCAAAACCGTGATGTGAACTGTGTACCTCTGTCTGAAATGATGGATACTGGAATACCATGAAGGCAGACAATCTCTCTAATATAAATCTCAACCAACCTCTCAAAAGAATAAGTGGCCAACACTGGAATAAAATGAGCTGACTTGGTCAGCCGATCCACGATTACCCAAATAGCATCGAACTTTCTCAAAGTCCATGGAAGTCCAACTACAAAGTCCATGGTGATCCGCTCCCACTTCCACTCTAGGATCTCTAACCTCTGAAGTAATCCACCCAGCCTCTAGTGCTCATATTTGACCTACTGACAGTTGAGACACTTGGCCACAAACCCAACTATATCCTTCTTCATCCTCCTCCACCAGTAGTGTTGTCTCAGATCCTGGTACATCTTCGTGGCATCGGGATGAATGGAGTACCATGAGCTGTGGGCCTCCTCGAGAACTAATTCCCGAAGCCCATCTACATTGGGCACACAAATTTGACCC